AAATTGGTTCTCTTGGTCAATACTTGCTTCATATCCCAATCAGTTCTCTCTGTCAGTACTCACTTCACTTTTGGATTGGCTCCCCTGTTCAGTACTCGGGTGGGCCTCGGCAGTTTATGCACCCCCCCCCCCCCCCCACTGCTCTCCATCTCGCTTGTGGCTTGCTGTCTGCTCAGGCCTGCCAGCCCGGCAGGGAGTCAGTAGTAAAGTCCCTCCATTAAGGAGTTTTTTTCCTGGAGTGATACTTTATTCTGCTGCTACTCTGCAGATCTGGTCGATATTAAAACTTAAAAATAATTCATGACTTTTCACGTAGCTGTCAAAACCGCAGCTCCTGTTCTGGGTTTGGTTACCAGCCTGAGCCAGGTCCCAAGCACTGGGATGGCTTGGAGGGTCCTGACTGGGATTGGAAGTGACTAGGGGGGGTAGAGAGACTGGGGGGGAGGTATACAAATAGACTGTGGATGCGCTGTGACATGGGAGGAGGCCAAGTTAGTGTGGGGTTGCTGCCATTCCCTGGAGCGGTACGTGGGTTCGCGTAAACGGATAATGTCTGTTTGAGTCGTGCAGTAAAACATAAAAACATGGTAATGTTTAATAAAACCCTTCCTTACATGATCCGCAGCAGCTGCGAGTGCTCGATAAAGGCGGACAGGCGAGGCCCTCTCTCAGCTCTCTCCTCCCCATATCGTTGCCGCTGGATGTCCCTTTAACTCGCGCTCATTTCACTGGCTCTTAAGCCGTGAAATTTATGAAAACCAGCAAGCTGATTGCTTTACGGGTCGGTTGGTTGGCGAATCAACATGCAAGGCCGGGGTTGGGTGTGCCTCGGTACCGCCCTCTGGTGGCTGGGATTACTGTGGGTGTGTAGTGAAATCTGCATCGTATTCATGGGTGATCGTGGGTGTCCTATGCCCTGTATCTGCCAATAGGAGGCGCTGTGCTCCACAAACATGGTCAAAACTGTCTTGATGGAATTGGTTTCTGGGAGCTGGAATGTCTCTGAGCTCTAATAGAATTGATTCAAGGTGACAGAGGTGAACTGAGATTATAGTGAGAGGGTTTGATGAGACCCCAGTAGCAGGCAGGCTAACAGCCCCGGAGATCATTTAGAAATGCTAATATCCTGAGAGCCAGATTAACCTCTATGAGAATAATACACTATAGCAGCTGCAGAGCAGAGATGAAACAATTTGAAGGTGGTGTCATAATTGTAAGATGTTAACACCTTTTTTATTTTTAATCTCTTGAATCTTTAAACAGCTAAAAGCTGCTCAAAGTTAATAAAAAGAGATTATCGTGTGGATTGTGAGCCAGTATGGAAGTTGTCCTGATGGGTCCAGATTTGTGTGATGTGTCTCCATAAGTGGAGCCTGTCGCGGGGCCCCCTAGCAACATGGTTAGGCAATGACCCCACGTCACGCCGGTGCGGCTCAGCCTGTGAGGCGAAGGTCGCTGGTTTGTACACTGCGCTGCTGCTTTTTCCCGGCGAGCGGCCCCACTGTGCGATTATCTCCCCGGGGCAGCCCGGCTGGGAGTCCTGCAGTGATGAGATTTTTGCTATGTGAGGATTCTTCTCTCACTGGATGCTAACATCTTCTGTTAAGCCAAGGATTCCTCTCTCCTGGGACACCAACATTCTCCACTAGGCCCAGGATTCCTCTCCTGCTGGACGCTAAGATCTTTTGCTAGGCCGAGAATTCCTTTCTTCTGGGACACCAACATTCTCCACTAGGTACAGGATTGCTGGACCTTAACATCTTCTGCCAGGTCCATGATTTCTCCCTTGTAGGACACCAGCCTCATCCACTAGGCCTAAGATTCCTCTCTCGCCATATACTAGCATCCTGCACTAGCCCCAGGATTCCTCTCTCAGCGGACACTAACGTCCTCCGCTAGGCCCAAGATTGCTCTCTCAGCGGACACTAACGTCCTCCGCTAGGCCCANGATTGCTCTCTCAGCGGACACTAACGTCCTCCGCTAGGCCCAGGATTGCTCTCTCAGCAGACGCTAACGTCCTCTGCTAGGCCCAGGATTCCTCTCACCGGATGTCAGTATCTTCCTCTAGGACCAGGATTCTTCTCTCACCAAACATTAATGGTAACATCCAGATAACATACTGTAATCAGCCACTGTTTATTATGGGTTCTGCCAGAAGCTGCATTTGTTGTTCATTTGAGATGTTCTCTTGGAGCTGTAGCTGGGAGGATGTGTTCTTGGATCAGATGCTTTTGTTTTCTGACCCCTCCTTCCCTCTCTGCAGCCTGCAAATGTAATGGCCACGCCAATGTGTGCCAGGTGCTGACTGGGAAGTGTTACTGCACCACCAAAGGAATTAAAGGGGACCAGTGCCAGCTGTAAGTACCAGCTACCCACAGTCCGCCGGCTCAGTCCAGTCCACCCTTATGATATCACTTCCTGTTACTATTAAAGCATTTTTACTTAATCTGATAGTGTTTTGAATTAACCCAAAATAATACAAATCTGTCAGAAGTGCATCCGTATGTCTCCCTCTCCCTCTCTCTGTCTGTCTTTGTCTCTGTCTCTTCCTTTCACCCCGACTCTGTGTTCCTGTCTCATTGTCTCTCCCTTTCTCCGTTTCCCTGTCTTGCTGTTTCTCCCTCTCTCACTGTTTCTGTTTTCTTGTCTCTCTCCTGTTTTTCTGCCTCTCTCCTTTTCGTCCTGTCTATGTCTTGCTGTCCCCATTTCTCCTTGTCTCTCTCCCCATCTCTCCCTTTCCTCCTCCTCTTTGTGTTCCTGTCTCCTTTTCTTTCCCATTTTTTCTATCTCTGTCTTCCTGTCTGTCTCCCTTCCCTCTTTGTCTCCTTTTCTTCCTGTCATTCCATTCTTCTTTCCTCTCTCCCTGTCTCTCTCTCCCCCTTTCTCCTTTTTCTTCCTGTCTCTCTTTCTCCCTGTTCTTTCTTTCTTTCTTTCTTTCTTTCTTTTTCTTTCTAGATAAGCTAGATAAGATTTTAACAACTCTGAGCTATTAGTTAAGTTCTCCCCAAGCGAGCTCGATGGGCCGGATGGCCTCCTCTCGTTTGTATATTTCTTATGTTCTTATGTTCTTTCTTTCTTTCTTTCTTTCTTTCTTTCTCTCTCTCTGCTGGATAATTGTCATGTTCACAATCATCTTCTGACTATCTGCTCTTCCTTCAAAGCAGCTAGTGCTGGTTTAAGCTGACGGAGACTGGCCCCCATCCCCTGGCTGTTTGGGGGGGGGGGGGTGCTGCAATGTCACCTGCGCCGTGTTCACACGTCACTTTCCCCAGGCTCTTTGTCCAGCTTGTTTACCAGCCTTTCCCTCGTGACGCGAGCTGTACTGTTTTTATTTCCAGCGAGGTGAAAATCCCAGCGTGTGTCTTGCTAAAGGCGCGCAGATGGCGCCGGGGCCGCTGAAGGCATCTCCATTAGGCCCTCGGAGCGGGGCTGCATTAGCCTGGGGGGGGAGGGGTGGGTTGTGTGCCACATTTTGAGTGTCAGATGAATGGGCCGCAGGTCATGAGCTGTGAGGGGTTGGGGGGACTCATGGGTTTAAAAGCCCCCAGTCACACTTGCCTTGCCCCACTCTGCCCTATCTAAGAGGCCCGTAGGTCAGGTGACTGCCATGTGAGACTGCAGTGGCCATGCCAAGGCCAGCTGGTGGTTAGGCGACGGAGGTGGTGGCACTTGATCACAGAGCGGTTGGGGGGGGCACATTCAGCAATAATCACGCACAGATGAAGTGACACTGCCAGCAAGGAGGTCACAGAAAGAGACATAAATGGGGTTTGTGGAGTGATTGTGTGTGTGTGTGTGTGTGGTGATGGTGCTCTGGGAAAACAGCGACCACAGGAGCCCCTCTCTCTGAGCCCTCAATTAGACCCCTCTCCACCTGTCATTCCATTCTGCTGCGGAGTGACATTGTAGGACAGTCTGCTTTAAACAGCATCCTGTTCACCTGGACGCACCCCCTGCTTGTTCTCTGGTTTTCGGTCTTTGCAGTCTGCGTGGTCTGTGTGCTTTGTGCACTCTGCATGCTCTGTGTGCTCCCCGTGGTGTATGCGGTCTGTGAGCCACTGGTGGTCTGTGCACTCTGCATGCTCTGTGTGCTCCCCGTGGTGTATGCGGTCTGTGAGCCACTGGTGGTCTGTGCACTCTGCATGCTCTGTGTGCTCCCCATGGTGTGCACTTCACCCACTTGATGGGATCCCCCGAGAAGATATGCTTAGGCCAGGTTGCAGAAGATTGGTTTGCCTCTATTTCTGTGCTTCCCTGGGGGGGGGGGGGGGGTTT